GGGTGGCTGTGCGAGTAGACCCAAGGAATCAGACATGAACAACGAAGAGAACTCTGTTCTTAACAAGCCTGTGTCTGATACCGTAGTAGCCAAGGTAAACATGAAATGTTAGGTTTTGTGTGTGTGTGTTTTTTTTTTTAATAAATCGACATAGAACCGGGTAAGCTTAACCGGTTATGATAATGCAGGAGATCAACACAGAAGAAAGCGGTGAGAAACAGAACCAAACAGAGACTGTGACCACTGAAACAACTGTCGAAGCTAAGGAGACTTCTCCGGTCGAACCGACCAAGGAAACAGCTCCTGTTGCTGAAACAGTGGTTGTAGCAGCCGTGGAAGAGCCTTCTTCAACTGGTGAGGTTGCAGCAGCACCTGAGAAAGTGGAGAAAGCAGAGGCTGTACCAGAAAAGGTTGAGGAAGCGGTTGCTGTACCGGAAAAGGTTGAGTTTGCGGCGGAAACGGTGAAAGCGGTTGAGGCTGAACCAGTAAAGGAGGAGAGTAAAAAAGAAGAGAAAGAAACTGTTGTCACTGTTTGATTGATTAAAATCTGTGTGAAAATATTTTGAAATGTTGTTGTATTCTTCTACCTTGATTGGATTTGCTACTACCTGATTTAATTTGGCTTTGTTTGTTCTTTGTATTTCACAATGATTCTTCTTTGATTCAATTAAAAATATAAATCAGTTTTGCTTCATGAATTTTTATAATCTAACATTTATAGATCTTATAATCTTAATTGTTGTGTAATACTATTATTTTCAGGAAATTAAAAAGAGTATGGATTCTGGATGAGAGAATATATGTGAAAGAGCGAGCATGGATGATGTGTGACATTAGGTGGACCAAAAGGCCCAAAGTCATCGCCCTCTCTTGGCTTACGCACTTCCCACCGTTACCGTTTCTTTCTCTGACCTTTTTTGTCCATTTCTGCCGTCGTTCTCTATAAATATCCAATTACAAAATGTTAATTTATTAATACGCGTAATAAATAATATCAAATTTATTATTATTATGTAATAACATACGTAATGAACAAGTACTAGATCTAAAGTATCTAACCAATTAATTAACCTGACACGTGAATTCCCTCCCTTTAACCGCG